ATTTTTAACTTTGGCTAAGATAACTTTGTTGAATGGTTCAACTAATACTTGTGTATAGTGTAAATACCAAAAGTTTATGTGACAGTATCTTGTATTGGTAATGAAACTAACTACGTGATAAAAAGCATATATATATTGTATTTTTAACTTGGGCTAAGATAAATTTGTTGAATGGTTCAGCTAATACTTGTGTATAGAGTAAATACCAAAAGTTTATGTGACAGTATCTTGTATTGGTAACGAAACTAACTACGTGATGAAAAGTATATATATATTGTATTTTTAACTTGGGCTAAGATAACTTTGTTGAATGGTTCAACTAATACTAATGTATAGTGTAAATACCAAAAGTTTATGTGACAATATCTTGTATTGGTAACGAAACTAACTACGTGATGAAAAGTATATATATATTGTATTTTTAACTTGTGCTAAGATAACTTTGTTGAATGGTTCAACTAATACTTATGTATAGAGTAAATACCAAAAGTTTATGTGACAATATCTTGTATTGGTAATGAAACTAACTACGTGTAACTTTTGATAGATATTTAAAAAAAGTTTTAATGTTTAAGAAATATCTTAATGGTGTATATACTAAAATAGTGAACAGTGTATTTATCGGCTTAGTCAACTTTAACTCATTTAGCCAGGAATTTGGTTTCTGTGAGAAACATTTTCAGTTAAGAGACAGAAGCATTTTGTTGAAATGCACAAAAGCAGTGTAGCAATTTCTGAGTAACCCATCTTTTATCTTGCAGTTATATAATAAGGTAGCTATTACACTGTCGTAAGCCAAATGCTTCTCGGAAACTACTTTTCTGAACAAGCCTGCCAACAATCTTATTAAACATCTTCTTATTGGTTGAAGTTTATGTTGGTGACCTTTGTGCTTAACCTCCACTGAATGTAAAATGATGATGGTATATTCAGTACCGACCAACAGTAGACAGTAGTTTTGATCAACGGCGGCCAACAAATATGAAATTTGTGATCAAAAACTGAAATAATGAAAACTGTCTTCATTTATATATGTATTCTTCTAATTATCTGTTAAAACCAATATATGCTAACTGTTCGTCTCGCCTTATTCGTATCGTTTGATTAATCACCACGCAGTGTTATCTCATCCGTACCAAGAGAAAATATATTTCATTATGATAGATACACATGTCACAGACAGGTGGCGGTGGTGTCAGAGAAATCCGAATTATTTTATTTATCACTCATGGGACAATTTGTTACTAATATTCCTTTGTTTTATCAACTTTGATATATGCAAATCTATGAGTAATTATTTATCACGTGTATATAGGTACAAGTGCATTTAAAACATTCTGATTCCGCTGACTAGCATTGAATCGAAAGTGAGTATTTTACACGTTCCTTCTACTTACCTGTACCGAAAATAATTTTTCTGAATAATTGAAGAAAACCATTAAATATGGAGTAATACAAAACTATAGTTACATAAATATTTACTTTAGCAGTATAAATATGTTAGATTTGTATTGATTTAATTATACAAAATATTATGAGAGCAACATATTTACAAATCATTAATTTCTGGTTAGTTACGAGTGTAATACTACAAGATTTGTGATTGTGAGATATTGATTAGAAGAACCGAAAGTCTTAGATCGCAGAAGGTTATAGTTGAATTTGATCTAAGCTTTAAAATAAGCTCTGGAGTGAAATACTACACTGAATTCTTTTTGCTCTCTGATCATTATTGTTTTGTGATAGTGTGGTACTATATTAAAACCGGGATAGAAACTATAACATGCATTAACTGCACTAAGCTGGATATAGATAAACCACGAGCTGAATTATTGTTACTTATGATATTTTATCATGGCTATTTCTAGTATTGTGCTCAATACATCCAGTTTATCTAAGTACACAGCTATTGAAACTAAAATATATAGTTGAACAATGGCAGACTTAAAATGTTTACAACTTAAATGAAACCAGATAACTAAATTCTGGAATATAATTCTGATCACAGTGTATTCGAGGGTACAGAATCATCTACGGATTAAGAACTGACTAATAATGTTCCACTTGAGAACCGAAGAACAAACTTATCAACTAGTGAGGAAAGTAAAGGGGATTACCTGTGAAGGTATTAAAGTTAGTGACCATCAAGAGTATTATTTCAAAGATGAACGATAATTAACTAGGTTTGCAAGGGAGAATGTATTTAGCAGTTCACTGTGTTACTAAGTCAGCAGATGACAACACATTCAACAGGTAGCTGGGCCATTATGTTAGCAGATGAGAATATATACTTAACGGACGACTATAAACAAAATATGCTCATCGTAAGGACCAGCCCAGAATAGCACATTAGCACGTGATTGATTCTTAATTTAGTTGACGCAAAAGCATCATTCGGCAATGGGAATTCTAATCTTGCTAATAAATATATAATAGCATAGCATCGTTTGAGATAGAAACTAAATTAATTGATTTAACAAGCCATATTTTTAACAAGGCTTAACTTGCAAGAGATGTTAGTACAATAGAGACACTCAAAGAAAATACCGTTTAGTTTCTAAAGGTTGTATAGAAATGTTTAGAATATTTCACGTAATAGACTAATGGCAGGTGTCTAAGAATTAATAATTAAATTAAAATGCAGATAATACAACATTTCATGTTAGAAATTTCATAGACTAATTTTACAACGCATCTTAAATCATTTTATATTTCTCCAAAACGCAGCAACATACACATAAATAAATGTTTTCTATTAAAACAAGATCTAAGTATCAACACTTCAATTGAGAAATTATTAATAGACTTATGTTTAACATTTCTGGAGGTATCACATAAACGTTGGCAATAAATAAGGCACAAAATACCTAAAAATTGGAAAAGATGGCGCCTAGTTTACGCAGATTAAACGTCGATACATTTTAACTTTTATTTTATATCCATTTTTAGTTATTTATCAAATGGCTTAATTTTCCAACCAGTCTTTGCTTTAAGAATGCAAAGCAGGTAATGTCTGTAGTGATTAAAGTACTATAAAATATGCAGAATCTATATCTTTAACTTGGGAGACATGAAATGCAGAGCTAATACTTATTCGTAATATTTTGGCATTAAAATTCCACTCTATATTAGATCAGATCAGGGTTAATGTTTGTACGTACAAGATTACGATTGAATTGAAAGATGTTCTGGATTTAAATTTTAATTCTCAAGCATCTATCATCTAAGCACTGTAAAAAGATGGGTTTTCTATATTAAATAAATCAGAAGCAAATCAGTGGAAAACTGTTACCATTTTAACGTTACTGCGCATAGCTAAATTCTTAATATAGCTGCCAAGCTTTCTTTTTTTTTCTGGATGTTATTTAAAAGACGGAACAATTCTGCAAGATGCGTTAAAATGAAATAGAGAAAATTCCGTGTACGGAGACTTAAAAACAGCTATGTGATTGACTGCATCCCGAAATAAATCAGGAAAAAAATGACAGGAAATGAGCACCAACTGATGACAGGACAAAAGAGTTAAATAGTGTAGCCATGTATCATGAATAAACTTCAATTACAGTAGGAAGAGAAAAAGAAAAATACGAGTTCCTGATTTTCCCATAATTATTACATTGTCCCCAGAGAGTAATTATAAACTTATTTATGAAGGTTCTGGTTTTAAAAATTCAGAAAAAGATAATGGAAACACGTTGTAACTGGGCGATAGACTTACTAAGTAAGAACATTTTGAATCGTAGAAAAATGATATCAGATTATCCACTGATAAGTTAAAAATAGATCATATGGGCTATGAGAGTAACTTCATAGATAATACACCTTTCAGACAAATTGAAGGAGATCTTGTAACAATAACTGAAAGGTATACGGTTGAAAAGGGAATGATTATGTAATGGCAGAGTGAATAGCAATTGTATGTATGTGTAACGGAAAACAATAGAGGATAAAAACCATAAATGATCATGTGTTTTTTGTTAATAAATTGAGATAGAAAAGCGAGAAGAGGAAATTTATCAGTTATTGATTTAAATTGTAAATGATATAAGTATATTCTCATATTGTTTAGTATGTCATATCAATTGGTACATTAAGTTCGTTTCTATGTTTCCTCTTTTTACAGTTATACACGATTTACCTTTATATTGTAAGCATTGCAGCATTATAGGTATTCTGTTTAAGATTATCAAAATTCCCAATGATTTAGTTTAGACGACTGTAACAGCTTCATTTGAGCTGTTACATTGGTATTCTCTGAAGAGAACTGTTTTGTATTAATTTCAGTAGTTAATATTGGCTACAGGAATGTATCTATATAAAACAAATATCTAGCTTTACAGTCGTGATGTTAAACACCAGATTATTCCATTATACAGCACATTAATATTTAACAACATGTGCTATTATCCTCCATGAAGTAATGGATGAAACTGTGATATGTTGAATTGTTCGAAAAACAGACGTAGCACATGAACTACATTAACATAATATACGTATCGGTTACCATGTACAAGATGTTTTATTAACTGAGAAAACGTGTTAGCATAAAGTTAAAGCGAGGTAAGGCTTTGAAGGCAATTTTACGTTTGTGGAGAAGTTTTTCCTGCAATATAAGCTAAATATACAGAAACTAAAACACCAAGGGAATGAAACTATGAATATAAATAAAGTATAGCTTGGAAACTATGAATATATATATATATTGTAGTTTGGAAACTATGAATATATATATATATAGTGTAGTTACGGAAACTATGAATATATACAGAAGGTAGTTTGCTCCTAATTTGATGTTATACCTTAAACAAATTCATCATTCTACAGAACTTCACATCATTTGATAAACTTCTCTGTAACACCACTGAACGTTCAGTGCTTGTTGCATGCTAGTCTTGTCCTTTTAAGAACAACATTTTTTAAAGCTGGTTATATATAAACTCTTTTTCATAGAGCAACAGCGACAAGACAAATAAAGGTAATATATAAAACGTTAGTATTACCTTTAGCCATGGGAGTTATCATCAAGATGTTAGCACAAGCGGCTCCGTGGCCCTGCCCGAATATCGTCACATTATGAGGATCTCCGCCGAAACCATCAATGTTCTCCTGTATCCAGTGTAGAGCTGCTACTTGGTCCATAAGTCCGTAGTTTCCCCTAGCAGAGCCCTCAGTTGCTGGAAAGAAACCTGAAGAGAAATTACTAACTGTCCTTTAGTTGCTCCTGGGAATTGTCCAATATTTAATCTAAGGCCATTAAATAAGAACATTCGTCATTCCACGACAGATTTCACTTTGAAATGTGTAAAAAGTAGATAAGAGACCGTAAAAGTATCTGGTAACGTAACAAATTACACCACCTATATATCAATCAATTTTATCTTACTACTAACAAGTCCCAGTTTTAAGCAGGATCAAAAAGCAAAAATTTACCTGTCATTCAAACTTACTTGCTATTAATAAAGGGTGATAAGAAAGGATGTATAGACTTAACAAATAGCGTCATTTTACTGTATGGAGTGAAGCAAGTTGGAACGAGTCAATTGTATGTGAACAACAATGTAAACGCAACAAGATCAATAAAATTTCAATAAAACGTAAATGAACGTTAAACTTAAAATATACACGTTATATCCAGAATTATCATTTTAGATACGAAGACACGAAATTACTTATGTCGAAATAATATATTAAAGCACTATACTAATAACATGCGTTTCACTGCTCATAAAATGATTGATCGAAAGCACAATATTTTGTAAAAGTTATAGTATGAACAAATTATTTAACGTAATATTGAATTAAAATATATTAACGAAATTTTTAAGAGTGTTCAAGAAGAATTTGTGGGAGATTTGTAACAAAATCGATCGTCCCTCTAGTAGAATTTTTTTGTCTACTTTTTCTAATCTGACACCCTCTCGGCTAAATTAATATAACATCAACCTTTCTGACTGTACACCCTATAAAAAGACACTTTACCAATCCTTTTAGCGCAGGTCAAGAACATAAGGTTTTTCTGTGATACTAGTAGGTAAATGTAAGTACTAAAGTGAATAAGCTTTATCTGAATGTCTGTCTTTCCATGTATTTTGAACTAAACTTCTTTTTTCGCAAAACACCTTCCAATTTGCGTTTTATTATCAAACAAGAGGGAATTTTCAACAGCCGCGGCTGTAATTAGATCTAAATCGGTCAAAAGTCTGTACTTGAAAAAAAAAGCTCACATCCATTCTATGAGCCATTATGCCGCGGCTACAAATATACTTTTAGAGTCTACTTGTTCTCCATGTGGTGGTCTGAAACAACAATCAGAAATCAGTACTCAGAGTTTTTCTGCTTTGAATATTGTATATGTGCAGTTTTCAGCGATAGCTTTCTCTGTTTATTGTTAAGCACAAAGCTGCACTACGACGGCTCATCTATGCTGCGCTCACAGCGAGTTTCGAAACCCGTATTTTAGCGTTAAAAGCCCTCAGACTTGCCAGATTCAGACTTGCCTTCTTTTCTTTTTTAGTCAACATTTATTTTACTGTTTCATATCACAATATTAATAAGATAACTGTGTTCTTCTGATTTCCTAAGACAGTTAAAGAGTACTTTTTATTTTTGTCTTTGTAAATCTGTTGATCTTCTATTTTGTATAACAACTGTCTACTAGTTTTATTTCTTAGTCATCAACTTCTACTCCAAAAGTTAAGATTATTGTCTTGATCATGAAAAGTTGTTCATGTAAAAAGGTTATTCATGTAACGGATATGAACATAATTTTCAGCAATATCATAAGTTAATATAATTTTTATTTTCTGTTCTACTATTGAGAGTAACTAAATAGTTAGACAAGTTCAGTTGACTAGTCTTAAAATACCTAAAACTTAAAAGTTTAACTGTGTTGATGTGTTAATTAACGTTTAATTTAGTTAATGTTCTAGCACACAACAACACTTACCTAACCTATAGTTGACGGAAATCACAACATCGTCGTCGTGGCTTGACAAGAGATGTCATAGCACACGACTAGACTTACCTAATACTCCTAATCTGTAGTTAATAGTAACTACGACAACGTCACCGTAGCTTGCCAGAACACTTCCATCGTAGGGATTGCCCGAATTCCAGAAATACGACTCTCCGTGTATGTAGACCATCACGGGTAGTTTTACAGGTTCCATGTAAGCTAAATAGCAAAGAAAAATATGATATTTCACTTGAATAAAATTCCAGCGATGTTGAAAAGTAAGTTTTTATTCCGTTATGAACATACGTATATGTGTTTAGAGAGAAAACAGAAGAACCACAGTACGACTGTAGATACTTATTGTGCTAACGTATACTTCATAAATGGTTCTTATATAATCATAAACAATCACAAGCTTTTGTAAGATTATCAAATGGAAACGCAACACATTAAATTAGTTCGCTGTACATGTTTAACGTGATTCAAACCTTCCTTATGCTTGATAATGGCGTGCAATTCGAAGGCTCGATCATGCAATTCTCTTCCAAAACTAATTTATTTGATGCTATTTAGATGGTGTTTAAAATAGGCAGTTAAACTTTCATAGAACTTCAGCTATATAAATCTTTGTTTCCTATCATAAATATTGTAATACCAAAAGATAATTAATTTCTCCAAATAGCATCGCTTTATCTTTAGTCATCAGTTAGCAGCTAGTGGGGTTAACAGATTTCATTTTGAAATATACAAACGAATGATTCTTTTCTTCTATTTTTGAAAAAAATAAGTAAATAAAATGCAAAACTGTCTATCAAAATACTAGGAAAGCAATCAAATATTGACAAAGTTAACCGTCTATGTTGTCAATGTAAATAAACTCCATTTTTTACTTTGTGAAAACAAACTATTAAATCATGTTCTTAGTCTAACGATTTGGTTAAGAAATTTCGAATGAAGAAAAAGTAGAGAAATTCATGAAAATTAAGACAATGTCGTTGTCGTAGGAAACAACTAGAACATAATGAAAATTATATAGAATTAACGTCTAGTCATGTGCATAATTTTCGAAATAAGAATAAATAACAGATAAACCTTATTAACTAGATTTACTAGCATGCTTTATAAGCTTTGGCTCGTTTATTAGTAATGCAGTTTTGATCACATGTTAGCAATAGAGAACCTTTGAAAAACAACAAGAAATACACATGGCATTACTTTAACAGTACATATATTAATGACCATATTATAAAATATAATATCAGAAATTGCAAAGAAAGAAATCAGTAATAATAGCTTTTGTAGATCAAACAACCATTTTCTCCAAATAAAGCATATAATTGGATTTTTATCCTTCTTCAGGTTCATCTAAACTAAAAACCAACACATCTGATATCTAATGAGATCTCCCTATTTTTCGTTGACTTACTATATCCTCACATAGACAAGTCAGAATATTGGTAAGAACACTTTTTCTCCGGGGAGGAAGATATTTTTAATCAGCAATATATCATTTCTATATTCATCACTTCGTACATTAAAAGATAACGTATTTGATTCAGATGAATTCACATGAGAGTTTAAAAGCATCTGTTGAAAAAAAAAATAGTATGATTAATTAATCGTAATATTTTTCTAGAAAAAAGATTTTTTTTTTTCCAAAAGATTAAATACTGTTTAAATCTATTCCGTCCTCCAGAGCGTGACTAAACTAGAAATGTACGAAACGATGTGATAATATTAGACGTTTTTATTCGTTTTCAAATGATAAATAAACATAATTACATTTTCATCTGAGTAAATTAATGTAAAACATATCAATATTTATAATGGCTTTACTTGCCATAAAGATGCTCCGTATTAGTGTAAACAACATTAAATAAATTAAATCTGAGAGCCAGGAAAATCTGAGGCCATTAACACAACCTAACTTAGAAATTACATATATATATATTAAAAGCTACGTATAACTCGAGTACGATACAAGTATTACTTATTATGTACAAACTCTTTTATCTAATATATATACCCATACACACACACACACATATATATATATATAGATAGGTTCAATGTTTCTTAAACGAGAAATATAAAATTTTGATTATATTGAATACATCTGAATTATTTACCTTTTTTACGCAGATAGTTAAAAACCTTAGGACTGATCTCACCCACATACGTTTTGCCTGGACAGGGAAAATAATGTTTCGTATGTATGATATATCAGATTTGAGAAACAAAAACGAATCTTTTACGGCCATTTATTAAGTTCCTGTTGTATTATAGCATAAAGCTACACAAGAGGCTATCTGTGCTTTGTTCACCGCTGGGAAATAAACGCCGAATTTTGAATTGTAAGACCATAAACTTACCGCTGACCCACTGGGGGATCAATCACGAGGAGCACACATGGCAGAGAAAAAAGTCTTTGATTTTACCTATTAGTTTAAGCAACTAATCTCCTAATAATAACTGTTTACATTTTCTAACGGTAGTCCGGAGGTGGGCCTGCCTTAAGTTTACGGACTTACAGCGCTAAAATCCCCGATTCGATTTCTCGCGGTGGACAGAACGTAAATAGCCAATTATGTTGCTTTGCGCTTGAACAACAACGAAATGAAATGTTTTAGCAGTAAATAAATATATAAAATTATAAGTTTATTAACCTAGAACTTGTCAATTAAAGTTTCTAGCAATGTATATTTGAAAACAAAATATATGTTAAAGGTTAAGTAGAGGTTGGTTCTTTTGGCTGTGTGTGTATCTAAAGATTTATAAATTAAAATAATAAAAATACACATATTACAAAACAATAAAATACCGAAATATTCAATTGTAATCTGTATTGAGACCTATCATATCTTGTACAATGTAACTATTTATTCACGCTCCTTCCACTTTAAAAACACCCAGTGGGTCAGCGGATGCACAGTCCTATATTCTGGGTTTCTATCCTCTTTGTGGACGTAGCGTTGAGGGTATGTTGCTCAGCTTTGTGATAAAACAAAACGAACATTAAAAATGTTTAAATAAAAGACCGTATAGAAAAATAAATTATACATCTTTATTGAAGGTGACAGTTAGCACCTTTATTAACGTTTATTCAGTTTCATCAAACATTTGATTAACTCACAGGGAAGGTAACTGGATAAAGGGAGGTTTCGCCTTCAGCTACTTAGAGGGCGTTATAAAATATATTTTATTATATTATTTTATGAACTTTTGAACAATGATAGCGATAAAAATCAAGGATTGATTTTATGATATTCTACTTTGTTTCTCTTCTCTACAAAGAAAAACGCTATCGTTTTTAATATTATGTAAGTTTGTACAAGTACTTTACTTAACTTATAATAGTAATACAATTATCGTCCGATTAAATTTCTATTGTTTCAACTTTTTGTTGTTCCATAAGCGAGAGAAATGTGTTCAGTTGTTGTTGAAGAGTTCTCGACGTGACCAGGATTTAAAGCTTCTCACTCAGCTTACAAAGAAAAGAAAAACGTGCTTGTGATGTCAAATGTTGTGCTTTTCATTCACCACGATGGTTTCCCAGTAAACTGAATATTAAATCAAATACTTTCTTTCAATTTTTCTAGCAATAATTATTTTAAGTTTTTCTTTGCATATGTTATTGAATAGTTTAAAAAAATATGTACATACATACCAGTAAAAAGTTTAACGTAGATGAACAAATGAATATTAAGTGACTACAACTCAGCTGTTTGGTGATTCTTATGTTTAATATCGTATTCTTTTTTTACTCCTCTTAATTGATTGGAGAGTTTTTTTAATAAAATTTTGCGATACCATTAAAAGAAACGAAAGTTTTAAGAAATTTAAAGTTTGTTTCTATATGCATTATATTGAGCAATACATTTAAATTTGTACACCAAGTACAGGTATGCAATTATTATTATTTTTTTTTTTTCATTTGCGAAACATAGTCTGTTCTATCGACCCTTTCCTTCAGCAATAATAACCATATACACAAAAACATAATAAGCTACTATATTTTACATATTCGACCATGAACTTTTTGTATATATAGGAAGTACGAAAACAGACGCATGTTTAGGGTAGAGAGTGAATTGAGGAAACCTTTTCTTATCGATCGTTCCCTCATTTGCATGGTTCGTTTCCAAAGTGATAGAAAACCTTTGATAATACTGCGCCAGCTGCCTCAAATTATTGCCTATGGGAGGAACATCTCTTGCACATATACATTATTTACGCTACCAGTTTGTGGCCATGCTCACCATGCTCACAGACCTAACTATAATCGTAAAAATATAAGCTTTAATACTGCAGCTTGCAAGCAGCCTTTAATAGGACCTTTAGTTTAAACTTCAAATATAAGCTCATTGAAAAGCCTTATGGCTCATTTGTTTCATATTTATTTGACACTTCACGTATAACATTAATTTATCTTGCATCATGATTCAAAAACGAAAATTGACCCTACATTTAGGTGATAATTTACACACATCCCCGAAAGAGAACAGAGGAATGTGAAGAAAAATGAAAAAGAGATTTTTAAGATCTATCAAACCGAAAACAATACTATATACAGTTTCAGTGAAAAAATAGCCATGAAATATCTGAAACCGAAAGAAAACTATCTCTTAACATCATACGAACAGTGGAAATAATACCTAGTGGGCCACAGCAACTCTCTGTTAACTACACTAATTTATGAGGGACTATTAACATGATCAAGTTTACAAAACGAAGTCTCCTAAACTGAATCGCCTTCAACAACGGATCAACTCATCATTTTAGATCTCCTGTGTGGGAAAGTGTGCAGGTCAATTGTCGATAGATGTCACTGACACACTGTAAGAAAAACAACAGCAACAACCGTATTTTAACAATGAAACCACTGTAAAAAACATTACAATAACACACCGTAATTTTACTTTACGTTTAGTTTACTGCCAAATATCGATGTCAAGATCATTCTTGTTTTCTTTAGGTTGTTATGTTATATTGACTTCATTTTACTTATGCTTTGTCACTAACAACCCTGCTGCCAATGTTTCCACAGTTAAATACGGTAACATTTTGAACAATGCATACATTGATAATATTTGTAAACATATTGGAAGTTTGTGATGTTTAACCTATTCTATAATTGTGTAAGTGCAGCAGGAAGAAAAGTTTGTTGTATTACTTATTGTGTCAGTTATGTTTTATCGTAAAACAATTGTATCAGACTT